CCACGACAGGGCTCAGTCGCTCGGGGGCGACCCCCCTGGAGACCGCTGCCCGACGGGAGTACGGCGTCAGGAGCGGATGGCGCCCCCGTCCCTGCGGCTCGGGGAGTCGCTGGTTAACTGCTTGCTTGTCACTCACGTTCCAGAGCTTTCCTTCACCTCGGTCAGAACAACTTCGCTGAAGCCCACAGATTCTTCACGGAGATTTTAAGGATGGAGCCGACCAACGCAGTGGTAAGCTGCTTCCGCGCGTCTGCGGGCCTCGGGCGGTGGGGAGGGTGCGGGGCCCTGACGCGCGCCCCCTCCTCCAGGCCAACAACAACGCCGCCGTGTGCCTGCTGTACCTGGGCCGGCTCAAGGACTCGGTGCGGCAGCTGGAGGCCATGGTGCAGCGGCAGCCCAGGCACTGCCTGCACGAGAGCGCCCTCTTCAACCTGACCACCATGTACGAGCTGGAGTCCTCCCGCAGCACGCAGAAGAAGCAGTCCCTGCTCGAGGCGGTCGCCGGCAAGGAAGGCGACAGCTTCAACACGCAGTGCCTCAAGCTGGCCTAGGCCGTCGCACCTGGCTCTGCCGGGTCTTCGTAAACTGGTCTGGCGCTCGTGCGCGATGTCACGGGGATTCGGGGGCCTCTGCCGCTGGCGTCTGGGAGCGTCTCCTTGACCCAGAGCCAAGGCCGTGGCTGTTCTGCAGTTTGTCGAACCCCAGCCAGCCCGAACCCACGCGGCTCTGACTGTCTATGAGCACAGGGGAGAACATGCCGTTAGGGTTGCGGTCACCAACAGAACCCCAGCGGACGCAGTTTATTCCCCGAAGCTGGCCCACGTGGTTCATGAACTCTGAACATCCTCAGAGCGGCTGATACACGCAACAAAGTGCTGTCGCTGTGCGCATGCATCGAGAGCACGTGTACATGGGGACGACGCCACACGCCTCCTGCCCTGCCCCAGGCCCGAACATCCACTTCACTCATCCGATTCTCCCTCAGCCTACGCCGAACACCTGGCACGAGCCTGGAGATGGGTGACAGGATCCAGCCTCGTTTCTCCGTGTCCGCACATCATGGGGAGACGGGGGGTGGGGGCGTTGAGGGGAGTCGGTGGAACGAAAGGGTCCAAGTGCGTGGGACGCGGGGCCCCGGCAGGGCCGGAGCGGGATACGCCTCCTCATCCGAGCGTCACGACACTTGAAGCTGACAGGGTCGTCCCTGCTCTTAAACCTGCGCGTCTCCTCCTTCCCTCAGAGTCCGGCAGGGCCCTGTCGGCGGCCAGCTCTCCTAGTGCATTCGAGAATGGGACTCATCTCGGACACTGCTGTGAACGCCTGTTGCGTGAGCAGAGCGATGCTGTTTCTATTCTTTTTGTAATAAAGTAAAAACACCCACGCACCTACCAGGCAGGCAGCCTCCACACATTTGTTGAAATACAGGTTAATTTGCACATTAAAATAGGAGAAAAAGGTGAGCTAGCCAAAGGGGCTGTTGCATACCAAGGAGGGTTTAAACTTTTTCTCTTTGAGAGAAAAATAAAAACTTTTGCTTCAGAGGCCCAGAAAGCCGCTGATGTCATTTGAATTTCCCATCGCGAGGGTTTCCCTTCAGATCTGGTTTTGGCGAGTGAGACAAGACTCAGCCTCCAGCTTGAACCTGGCCCGAGGCCACAGGAATGTGGGTTTGCAGGAGGGTGGTTGAGAATGGTCCCAAGCAACTATGCATAAAAGCCAGTGATACCACACAAGTTCCGGGCAGACTGCGGCAGGCTGCAAACAGGACCCGGGTCCCAGCAAACGGACCTGCATCGCGGAAGCTGCAGTGATCGGTACCTCCATCCAGGAGGA